AGCTCGGTTCGTAGCATCGTAGCGTCTTTGCTCCGTTCGTAGCGTCTTTGCCCTTGTTAATGACGAAGATTTGACCTCTCGGAGGTGCCCTGAACATGGGACCCCACCCGTTGACCACGAGGTAAGTCGGGTTCGCTAAGGTGCTGATCGTCCTGTTGGCCTTCTTGTTTGCATGGTGCTGCTGTGCGGTCCCCGGAAGTCAAATTGATCAAGTTCCTTCCTCCAACCTGGCCTTACTACTAGGAGCAAGGACGATACTAGGCGCTCCTGGCATCGCTACTAGTAGCATTCTTACTACTAGTAACAAGAAGCTACGATCGGGGCTCCTCAATGTTTGCAACGCAACAGGTGCATGCTGCTTGAGAGGGCCAAGGGCAAATACCCGCTGAGAGTGCCAGTCATGGCTTGCTCACGTGTCACAGATGTGACTAGGATGACAGCAGCGAACGGAAACTAGGCAAAGCGAACGAGGACAGCAGACATGACCTCAATCAGTTGATATTTTACAGATTTTTACAGTGGGCCATCAGAGTAGATGGCACAATCCCCCAAGTTTGGTGGTTTATATGGCCCCCCATTTACAAGACATCTTTGGGTGCCAGTGCCATCTATTCTGATGGCCCACTGTACACAACGAATGGGAGAGTGACCAGTCACTCGAGGCTTTGAGTTATCTTGACCTCGGCTGGCAATGTCCGCACGGGTTGGACGAACGGTTGAACAAAGTCAAAGGAGTGCAGTGAGAGTGGAATGGTGTGACACATGAATTGGGTTCATCGGAAGAGACCTCTTGAAGCCAAGATGGTGACGTTCCTTGGATTTCTTCGCAGAAGAGTGAGCATCATTCCAAGCACAGGAACCCCTCAGGACACCAGATCGAACAAGCCGCAGGACACTGATACAATAACACCTGGATTTTTCCACCTCGGAACGTGAGAGCGAGTGTTTCACACAGTGGAACAGTGTGAAGCACCTCGTGACATAGGAGCCGGGCCGTAACCGGTCACAACCAGTCACGTTCACCCAACCCCGTCACGCGTCCTTTCTTCGTCGCACGCCGGGTCATTGTAGCCTGTGGCACGCCATGCAGCCTGTGGCACGATGAAGGGCGTGGCCGCCGCTTGGCACGGATAGTTAGAGGATGTTTCTAAGGCACCTGTTCCTAGTAGCGTGGCACTTGTTACTACAAAGGTCTCTCTTGAGAGAAACACTTCTTGTCAACAAAAGATTTCTCGTGTGTGAAGCTGGCATTATTCTCGATCATTATGCCTTTTACGTTCAACATCGTTTTGAGGCAACCATTGTGCAACCAATTTTCTCGCTGAATAATTATTGGTGGGGCTTGACATGGAAGAATGTGAGTTCACAACTGACTCATTGCGGTAAATATTTTGGAAGCCATGCTTGAACCGAGTTCTGCACTTGTTCACCCAGGTGAAAGATGCTGATTCTTCCCATAGGCCTGAGGGCGTCCAATGATGGTTGCCGAGACAAAGGTGTGAGTTTTCCAAGGTGTTTTGATTCATTTCCGTTAAGCACCCCACGCTGCTGGGCTACCCTTTGCCTCTCAAAACGCTGGCTGGGCAGAGGCAAGGAATGGAATCCCTCCAGGGCGGAACTTGGTGTGAGAATAGAGGACATGCCATCGACTGAGGAACTTCGGTGAGTTGGAGCAACGAAACGGGTCGGTGGAAATCACGAAAAGTTCACGAGAATTACATAGAACTACTCTTAGGTGGCGATGGCTATAGTTATCATGAACACATCCTCCAGTGCTACCTGTGGCTGCCGGATGCGTGCAGGCGATCAGTTTTAAGAGTGCCACGGCCATGGCCTGGGGTGCTTGGGCTTGTAGGGCCAGAGCCTGTGCCACCTATGCCTGTGGGGTCTGCGACGCCTGAGCACCAAGGCGGACAGGGTTGCGGACAGGATGATGTGAGGAATCAGCTTGAAGCAGCTTGAAGGTCTTGAGGTTTTGATGGAAGTTCATTTTTGATGAACTATGCAGGGTCTTGTTTGAAGGATTTGGCGTGGACTGTGATGCGGGACGAGAGCTTTCAGAGCTTTCAGGGCACCTGAGGGACGAGTGAGGGTTGAAGATCGAGCACTGGCAGGGACGAAGATTCCAGGCGAAGTTGAAGAGGAGGCCTGGGCAGAGTGTGGCAGTACATGATTTGACCACTTTCCAAAGGAGAGCCAGGAACTATTTGCTAGTTACTGGAGTTGGAATGTTTTGAAAGAGAAGAGACGAGTTCAGATGAGATCGAATTGAGAATTGAGTCCATTTTGAATAGATCAAGTCTCCGCTCTTCATTGCGCCGGGTCTTTCACTGTCGCTGCAGGTCCCACTCTCAAGGTCCAGCCCTTGGGACACGCAAACCTCTGGCATCAAGCCTCATCAGGTTGTGCAAAAGAAAGTTCTGTCAGCCTTCCTAATTTGCCTTCAAAACATTTCTCATAGCAGTGCCCTCCCCAGGCGATGTAAATTTGCTGAGGTGTATTTAAAGGTTGTCATTGTTGTACATGTTGCATGGTTGATTTGAATTTCTGGCCTGGGAGTTCATGCATGTTCATGACACATCTGCATGGCTCAATGATAGTCATAGCAAACCCATCCTGACATGACATTTATAATCATCATGCTGACATATACTGACCTTGGTAATGACGTATAGCCGTATAGCTCGCCTTTTCTGTTCTCCAAAGGCGGTCATTTGACACTTACCAGTTCCAAATGAGCTCTAAAATCTGTTCCCAACAATCTAGGAAGTTAAGAGCAAATGGAGCAGATTCCCAACAAACAAACAATCTAAAATCTGTTCCCAAATGAGCTCTAATTATATCGTGAGTTTGTTTGCTTCGGATGTTCCTTTAGGGAGGAACTGAGCATGTCTCCGGTACCACCAATGGTGAACTGAGGGCGATGACGCAGACCTCCACGTGCCGGCCCCCCGGACGTTTAAAATGTATCAATCTTGTTTAAACCTCAAAAGATTCACGCGAGACGACATGAAAATTGACATCGCTAGTAGGTTGGAGGCCAAACATCATGTCGTATTTGATACGACTAGGACGCCGGACTGGCCGACGGTGTGACCGAGGCGACCCAGTGTGCGGCGACCGGTGGTCCCGAAGCTGTCCCTGCGCGGGGTTTTCCGGGAAAAGGAACGGCTGGGGTGGCCCAGGACCTATTCTCAGCTGATCAGTGGAGAGAAGTGGTAAGAAGCCACTTACGTAGCGAATAGACCGAGTAGACTCGAAGTGGTCACAGGTCTTGATCGATCATAGACCTCCTTTGCTTCCGGCGAAGGTCGACCGAAAGATCTCCCCTCCCTCCTTTTCACCCGGAAGACCGGTGGATTTTGAGAGTGACATCCTCCGAGGGCTGGTGAATACAAGCTGAAGATGGACTACAAGGACGGGCGAACGAGACGGCTGGACGCGTCGTCGCTCACCAGAAAGATTTGTTTTCCCGACTTCCCGTTCCTTTTTGGCCCACTATTGCTCTCCTAATACATTTTAATACTAAATATACAAATATTGTTTTTTGAACTTCAAGGGGGTAGGCCGCTAGTAGCTAGGTAGCAGAGGTAGCTAGTAGCTTAAGTAGCTACTACTTAGGACGCAGGATAGCTCACGCTTCTTCAAGGAAGCTTCCCCCGCTGCCTTTAGGGGGCAGCGGGGGAAGCTTCCTTGAAGAAGCGCTCCCACTAATGATTTGGTTCCTAGATTTTTAGAGACACTTAACATTAGAAGTATTTTCATCGTGCATCGGTGGTATGCTAAGTGAAAAAATCTTCATGCAAATCTGTTTCCAACCCCACACCTCTAGCCGTCCCCAAGCATCTCCAGAAACTGGTCCCCTCACCTTCCCTCATGCTGTGAACTTGTGCAGTGTGACGACAGCGACCCAGAGTCGGACGTGGAGTCTGAAGAGGAAGGGGAGGTGCCGCATACTTCGTGGAGATGCCGAACATGTGACCGGGGTTCAAACGATTTTCGTAGCGAAACACGATGGGCTTTTTGAGGAACGCGCATGACATCATGAGCTTTGTTGACAGCGAACACGTCAAAGTGTAGCTTTGGGATGTTCTTGGATGCTGGCATCCCAAGAGTTGGCCAGGATCCTCAATTCTCAGAACTCCTGATGGACGAGGCACGATGAGCAAAAGTGAGATAGGTCCAGGTGGATCTTGGATTGTTGTGTGCCACATGAAAGGAAACACTAAGTCACTAAGTGTCGATGTGCCGCAAGGTTTCTATATACCTGAAATGTTCGGAACACGTCTTGGAAAGAATCTCTAGATATCTCTAGGTTGTCTTGACGCCGTTACGAACGGGTGGAGGCCATGGTGGAGGCCATCGCTGGTGTTCCCATGTTCACCTCTCGGCGAGGCCATTGAGGTCCTCCTAAGAAAGAGATACCGCGTGGTGGAGGAGGCGAGTTCCTCGTCGAGTTCTCGAACAAACATCGAGGTTCAGTGCCAAACGGTGTAGAGAGATGGCACTGAAGCCTCGGAGTTGCCGGAGTTGCCTCACAGAATGGCGATTTCTAGTTTAGTGCGAATACTGACAATCCATGCGATTCATGTAGTATTTCCAAAAACCTTCGAGGTTGTACCATGGAAATCATATGAAATCATAGAGTCTAGAGCCTCCGCCAACTATCTAGAGCTGTCTCGTGCCAAAGCTGCTTGCCACTAGCTGGCGAAAACCAGAATGCTGTTTCTATTAGCTTGCACTTCTTAAAGCGCTTCTTGGGCTTCGCAACTGTTTGCGGGCTCGGAATGTCGCGTCACATCTCTCCATCTATCTCTGGCCTCTCGTTTAGGTGAAACCTCCAACACAAAGCCTTTGGGTCCGCCTCTTTGGCGGGTGCCTGGTGGAGGAACCGAGCCGAACGAACGAACGGGTGGTGTTTGGATCCGTTTTTGGATGGGTTTTGGAGGTCAACAAAGGGGGTCACACAGATTGATCCTGATTGATTCAGTCCTTCCTTGACTCAGACATTGTGCCGATGACAAGGCTTTTCCAAGATAAACATCATTTGAAATCATTTGAATCATTTGGTGTTTGTGATGATTTTGGTGTTTTGAGTCATATTTCGTTTACCATATGTAAGTTTCTTTTTTGGTCTGTGGTTTCTTGTTTCGTGAAGATGTTGTGGTGCTTTTTGTTCTCATCGATGTCTCTGTTCTGTCGAGGCGGAGGACAAGGAGTCGAGATCGGATCCTGTAAGTCGACCCGCGCTCATTGGCGCGAAGACGGCGGCAAATCTCGGGATCAGCAGCTTGGCAAATGAAGCTGACGACCTCGAAGAGACCTCGAAGAGACCTCGAAGAGACCTCGAAGAGAC